CCCTATTATTAGTTCTAATGCATTTCAATATTAACCCTGTTTCTCTTTTAACTAAAGTATGAAATTGTTTAAACGCATCTAACACTTAGTTTTTTTATTTCAAGGTATAAGCCCATATCTACCTTGAATGATTATCTATAAAAGTAACAAAATAGATGAAACCACTAAGTGTTTTTGTTTTCATGGGACCACAAACATAAGAATATACTAAATCAAGTATACTTAACTTTCTTGACGCAATGGATGTCTCGAATGCAACTCTAGTTTATTTTCCTGCCAAGCAATGGGCACACTTCTTCAAGGATACATTTTTCACTCCAAAAATAAGATTTTTCTTGGCTAAAATCTTTAAACCCTTTTTGCTTATGTGACTACGTTGCTTGTGCCAAAGCTTAGTTGTGTCATCATTATCTATTACATTAATAATGAAATTAGATACCTTTGCCTATATCAAATACAATAAGAAATATTTCGTACCCCTAACTACAATCAGAGAACCTTTAGTGAGCTTCCACTGACTATCACAAAAAGTGTTACAAAACTTTTTATTATCAAGCTTTCCTATAGAAATCAAATTCATGCAAATATCGAAAATACATTTAATATTTTTAAAGATCATAGAAAGTCTAAACATAGATCCAAGTTTAGAGATAAAATGAAGTACTTTCATTATGGTAAGGCAAGTCATATAAAATGACAATGTAAAATCTTAAAGCAATAGCAGAAAGATGAAAAAGGTAATAGTTCAAATGATGGCAATGTTGTAGTAACAAATTTAGATAGTAATTCAGTTACTTTGATTTGTACATATAATGATTGTAATCATGTTGGTGATCCTGACATTGAGTGGATAGTTGACACAGAAGCAACATATCATTGTGTTCTTAAGAGGGAGTTATTTATAACTTACAAAGTATGAGACTTTGGTTACACCAAGATGGGAAACAAGAGTGTGTTATAGATTATTAGGATTGATGATAATATTGTATAAATTAGTACGAGCTGTATGTTGACATTGAGATATGTCAGATACATTTTCGATATGAAAATTGACTTACTTGCTATTAATGTTCTTGATAAAAAAGGATATGAGAGTCGACAAAAGAATGGATAATGAAAGCTTCTCAAATGATCTGTGGTAGTTACAAAAGAAAAACTATGCTGCACAATATATAAGACATGGATACAATTGAACGGTAATAAGATAAATGTCATTAAAGATAATGCTTCAACAAACTTATGGCACAAGAAGTTGACACACATGAGTGAGAAAAAGTTACAGATTTTGGTAAGATAGTCTCTCATTCTTTTGACCAAAGGTATATATCTTGATTGATATGATCATTGTTTGTTTGGTAAGCATTGTAGAGTTTCTTTTTGTAAGAGTTCTCAGAAAAAAAAGACTGAAATTAATTTATTCTGACGTATGTGATCCCATTGAAGTTGAGTCATTAGATGGTAGTAGGTATTTTGTTACTTATTGATGATGTTTCACATAAGACTTGTGTATATATGTTAAAAAACAAAAGCCAAGTATTGTAGTATTTTTTAAAAATTTTATGTCATGATGAAAAGGATGATAGGATTATTCTTGAAGTGTATTCGGACTGATAATGGTGAAAAATACACATCCAAAGACTTTGAAAAGTATTGTTCAAAGCATGGGATCAGGTATGAGATGACAGAACCTGGAACATCATAGTATAATGGTGTAGCTGAAAGGATGAACCGCACCATTATGAAAAAAAGTCAGATGTATATTAAGGATGGTAAAATTACCAAAGCCATTTTGGGGTGAAGCAGTCAACACAACTTATTATTTGTTTAACAAATTACCATAAGTTCCTTCAAGCTTTAACATTCCAAAAAGAGTGTGGATAGAAAAAGATACTTAATGCTTTCACTTGAAAGTTTTCGGGTGTAAAGCATTCATGCATGTGCCAAAAAAATAGAGGTTAAAGCTTAACAGTAAAGCCACATAGTTTGTGTTTGTAAGATATAATGATGAGGAATTTGGCTACAGGGTATGAGATTCAGTAAAGAGAAAGATAGTGTGAAGGCAAGATGTGATCTTTTATAAAAAAGAAATCATAGTAGACCTTGAAAAAAATGAGAAGACTACACGAGTTATTGTTAAGTGTGATGTTTCAACATTGATAAAGGTTCTACAAGAAAAAACCATAGATGGTGGAAATGAGCAAAAGAATAAAACTTGGAGCTATAAATAAGTCAATCACAGTTAGTGATGAGCTAGATGCAATCAATTTTGAGTAGGGGCAACAATCCTTTCCATCAGAGAGTGTTGAGCATGGAGAACTACCTTCGACATCAGGTGATGTACAGTCTCAGCCTAATAGATCTACTAAAGAGCGTAGGTCATCTACTAGGTATCCAAGTTCAAATTTTATTTTAGTTATCAATGAGAGAGAGCCAAAAAGCTTTCAAGATGTGTAAGTTACTCCAGATAGAAAGCACTAGTTAAAAAGAATGAAAGAAGAGATTGAGTCATTATGAAAAAATGGTACTTATGATCTTGTTAAACTTTCAAAAGAAAAGAGACCATTGAAAGATAAATGGGTGTTCAAGTTAAAGAATGATATGACAAACTAGTGAGGTACAAAGCTTGATTAATGGTAAAACATTTTTTTCAAAAACCAGGCATTGATTTTGATGAGATCTTCGCTTTAGTTGTTAAGATGAGTTCTATTCGAGTGGTGTTGGGATTAGCTGCTAGTTTGAATATTGAGCTTGAGCAACTTGACATCAAGATTACATTCTTGCATGGTGACTTACAGGAAGACATTTATATGAATCAACCTGAGGGTTTTGAAGTAAAAGAGAAAGAGCACTTAGTTTGTAAACTAAAGAAAAGCTTAAATGGCTTAAAACAAGCTCCGCGATAATAGTACAAAAGTTTCATTCTTTTATGGTGAATCATAGCTATAAAAGAACGATAGCGAAACCTTGTGTGTATGTCAAAAAATTTCCTGATGGTAACTTCATTATTCTTTATTATATATTAATGATAAATTGATTGTGGAACAAAATACTGGTATAGTTTGCAGGTTAAAAAAATAATTGTCTAAGTCTTTTAATATGAAAGATTTAGGTCTAACAAAATAAATTCTCGGTATAGGCATTATCTGGGATAGGAGAGTTGAAAAGCTATGGTTGTCATAGAAAAAGTATATTGAATGAGTGCTTAGTAGATTCAACATGCAACATGCTAAATTAGTTAGCAATCCACTTGCCAACCATTTTTATTTAAGTAAGAAATCTTGTTCGGTGTCTAAGGAAGAGCAACTAGCTATGTCTAGTATTTCTTATTCTTCTGTTGTCAGTTCTTTAATGTATCTTATGGTTTGTACATAACCTGACATTGCTCATGCGGTTGGTGTAGTAAGTAGATTTCTTTCTAATTCGAAAAAGGTTCACTAGGAAGCAGTGAAATGGATTTTCAGATATTTGAGAGGCACCTAAAAAATGTGCTTGAGTTATGGAGTTTCACAACCAATTCTAGAAGGGTTTACTGATACCGACATAATAGGTGATATTGATGGTAGAAAATCTACTTCAAGGTATTTGTTCATTTTTACAGGAGAAGCTATGTCTTGACAGTCTAAGTTACAGAAATGTGTTGCTTTATCAAGTACAGAGACTGAGTATATTGCAGCAACCAAAGCGAGTAAATAAATGCTTTAGATGAAATGTTTTCTTCTTGAATTGGGATTGCATCGGAAAGAGTATGTGATGTTTTGTGATAGGCAGAGTATTTTAGATTTGAGTAAGAATGTCATGTACCATGCCAGAATAAAGCACATTGATGTTAGATATCACTGGTTATGTTTAGTGATTGAGGAACAACAAATGCTATTTAAAAAAGTCTATACTGATGAAAATCTAACAGATATGTTAACTAAAATACTTTTCAAAGAGAAGCTTGAGCTCAATAGTAACTTGGCTAAAATGAGTTCCTTGGCCAAGGTAAATTTTAAATGAAACTGCTACGATGATGAATCTTCTCTTAATGGGGCTGAAAAGGGAGATTGTTAGGAAAATGAGATCTAGCCCTATGCAATTAGTTTTGGACCAATTAAAGGCCAAAGGCCTTGGTCTTTCTTTTTTACACAGAGCTCTAACTACTTAATAAAAAGAGATGTGGTTGTTTTGAGGTGGCATCGCAAACTAAGAAAAGAAAAAAGAAAAGCCAAAAAGATAGAGAGAAAAAGAAGAAGGTAGAGTTGGTTGAACGGAAGTCGATCCGTGATCCAATTGAGGTAAAATTTGTCAACAGATTTATGATTCAAAGTTCTACATTCTAAATGGTGAAGATAGGGTTTGAAGCTCTCTAGGAACAAATATAGTGTATATTTGTTGAGTCACCTATTTGGTGAGATTTCTCTAATTGTCTCTCTCTAGTTGTTGATTAGCTCTAGTTTTAGTTAGAGAAGAACTTTGTATATCCATTATTTAATAGTGGAGATTTTTCTAATGGTTTATGATTTTTTCCTCTACACTTGGAGGGTTTTTCACGTAAATCTTGATATACTTTATTTGTCCTGAGTTGTTAATTATTGATTATTGTCTATTACTGTGGATTTATTATGATATATTGCTTCTATGTTGTTGTATTTATTACTTCGGAACCAACAGCATCTGCCTACGTAACCAAATCAGTTGGTTCGTTTTCAATAAAATGCCTTTGCTGTTATAACTTAAAAGAATAAAGGTTGAGAAGATAGCAGAGTTCAGGCATTTTATTTCGTTTTACCCATTTTCTTTAGTTCTATTAGCCAGATTTAATGAACAATATTTTACCTTTTTTTTGTCTTAATTTTTGTCGAAGCAATTATCAAACAGACAATGTAATATGGTATTACAAATAATATTCTTACAATGAAGACAGACAAACCCATCAAACTGAGGAAAAGATGTGTAGATCATAACCTTCAAGCATAGACTGTACTATTTAACAAAGGTCACGACCCATTTGGGTTTACCCATTCGAAGAGCAAAACATCCGATTGCCACTCCAAATATGAATCCAAATCCATAACCAGTCAAAACAACTTTCCACCCAAATTCAAGTTTTGATCCATCGTCTTTCCCGGAGTTCATCCATGATGCTGGTTGTTGTGACTCATTACCGCTGCAACCTCTAGAGAGTGGAGGTCCACATAATCCCTTATTTCCTTCATACGAACCATTTTCAAAAGTGTGAACTGCTTGCCTTGTGGTATAGGCCAACAAGTTGATTACATGAAACGTTGAAGAAGGAAAGAAATGTCAAATCTACCAATTCCCTTGGAATTCGCCCAACCAATCTATTGGAAGAAAGGTCTAACCATTCAAGACTAGTCATATTTCCAAGGGACGATGGGATATGACCAACAAGATTGTTATGAGAAAGGTTAAGGCCTCGGAGTGAACTAAGCTCTCCAATAATTCTTGGAATCTCCCCTTCAAATTTGTTATTAGAGAAATCAATGCTGGTGAATATAGTTAAAATCTTAACCAATTCAATCTCCAACCCTTTTACGACTAAGGCAACAGAAATAATCATACGAGTAATTTCTTTCCTGCATGTAGCTCCTAGCTTTGCCTTTGTCAAGATTCATCATTCCTCTAAAATTTTTGATATAGCTGGTCGGTAAAGGACCGAAAAAGCTATTGTTGGAGAGATCAATAATTCGCAATTTTGGAAGAGATTGAGGGTTCTTAGAAGCACCTGTTGAACCTGCGAACTTATTGGAACTTAGTACAAGAACTTGCAACTCTGATAGTGCTTCGATCCAATGAGGAAAGTATCGTTTATCTTGTTGTTGCCAAGATCTAGCACTTCCAAGTCCTTTGCAATTGCTGATTGATTGGGTCAGAGGCCCTCCCAAATGATTGCTATTCAAGTTCAGATTCTTCAATCCACATCCTTTTGCAAATGTTGGAGGAATGATTCCATGGAACTTATTCATCTTCAAGTTCAACGATGAAAGCCTTTGGGCTAAAGCTTCCAATACATTGTGGGATGATTCCCCTAAAGTTATTATGAGACATATCGAGAATCTCAAGAAACTTCACATTGCATATATCAGAAATATCTTCAGTCAAGTTGTTGTTTGAGACTGATAGGAATGTGATATTACGGGTAATGTTGGTAGATCACCTTGAATGAAATTGGAATGGAGGTAAGAACTCAATGTTTTCATGGAAATTTGGAATTTGGCCATCAATTATATTATAAGAAGGTCTAAGATTTAA